CTTCCTTCCTTCCTTCCTTCCTTCCTTCCTTCCTTCCTTCCTTCCTTCCTTCCTTCCTTCCTTCCTTCCTTCCTTCCTTCCTTCCTTTTTCTTTCTTTTCTTTTTTTCTTTTCTTTGCTTTCCTTTCCTTTTTTCTTTCTTTCTTTCTCCCTTTCTTTCCTTTTCTTTCTTGACATTAGATTTCATCATATGAATTTGGGGGGGGACAGACATTCAGTCCATAAAAAGGAGTAAGCTATGTTTTAGTTGTATATACTCATCTAAAATATATTTATAGTTTTAAAATTACATATGGAATTCTCAATTATGTTTTAGAGACCTTGACAGGTAGGATTCTAAACGTGAAAGTAACACTGCCATCTAGTGACAACAAACTCGAATGAAGTTGGAAAAGTAGAGTAGCGGTTAAGCGCTCTAGGAATGGTAACACGAGTCAGAGTCACGGAGTGGACCTGGCCACATAACTTGGGGCGGTCCTTTGTTTTCAGTAAACATTTGAGGAAGCTGATTCTTACAATGGTCATGCATTAAGAGGGACTAAATAAAACAAATGCTCTACGCTGTAGGATGTTACCCATGTAGTAAGTAGATCACGTGGTTTCCTATGCTTGCGCCACTTGACTGCAATCTGTTTCCATGTTCTCACTCTCTCCATTGCTTCAGAATGAGGGAGTTTTGTACTCTGATAACCTAGTAAAGAGAAGTTTTCATCTTAGTTGAAAAAACTAAAACTAAAAAATTCAGGAACAAACCTACATGAGGGAATGAGTCCTTGGTAAAATTTCAGGGTAGATTTTATAGCACTGTTAAGGAAAAAGTGGTATGCCAAGATAAACTCCATCTATCCTAAGGGGAGACTTAAAGCCACTTTGAGTTGAATCACTATGTGATTTAATGTAAGCACAACAATAAAACACTTCCAGACACGATATATTGTTAGAAAATGAAGAATATAAGAATTTTCTTTAAATCATTGAACTACAAAAGAAAATTGGATAATTTATTTGTATCTCTTAAGTCCTACACTTATATGATAGATTTTAGCTGATAAATTTTAAGTGAATTATTGTCCTGGTACATTAAAATTGCAGATAAAAGTATCATCTAAAATCCCTTGAGCTAAAATTTTCTTATCATGTGCACATGCCAGATCAAAGAGATAACAATTACTCTATTTCTCTGGAGGCCTAAATAACAAAAATCCATCACTCTGAAATGATAATAACTTTGCTGAGTGAGGTGAGAATATTATATTTAACATTTTTTTAGATAGTCTAGAGGGGCTTATTTCTATTTGTCTAATTACTAGTATATTCATTGTAATATATCCCTAAGGTTTTCTAACTCATGGTGTATAAATAGCCTAACTGGAAATATTAATTACTTTTTATATACGTCAATGAAAATTATTGCTTTCCTGACATGACTTATTACCCTGTCTCCCCTTCAGGAACAATACTTCATGTACTGAGAACAACCATTTTGTAACAGAGTTGCTATTTTGCCAGGAGTTAAGTTGGAAATCTCAGGAGCATAAATAATTTTAAGATAAGAAAAGCATCTGATTTATACATATTTCTTAGTTGATATCCTTAAAATAAAGTCCTTTTATGTTTATTTTAGGACAAGAGTACAGATATGACCCCATCTCTTATTTTCATGTGATACACTATTTATATGAAGAATGTAGGTAGTACCAGACAATAGCAGATGACAGTCTAGCAGGAGTTTGATTTACAATTGGTTGCCAGAAAGTATGGCCTCAACACTGAGGGTTCTGATTCTTTGAAAAAAGCATTGCACAATGTGGTTATGATTATCTTTGTACGGGGCACAGCTGATCGGGATCCTTCCTAGTTTTGGGTCACAGAAGAACTCTGGAGGCACAATGCTTAAGGTAAAACCTGAAAGATGGATAGAGTCAGTAAGGTAAAAAGCTGAAAGGCAGGCAGACAATGCTTTGGAAGGGGGTTGTATGGTCAGAGGGTTCTAGAGAGAACACAAATGAAAAAGCTTTATTTGAAACTTTTGGCACCTTATCGGTGAAAAGAGGATTCAACTCCACCAGTGTGGAGGTGCCTTATAATACACCAAGGCTCTGGAGGGCCCCTTCATACCCATAACAGTATAGTGGGGGCACAACAAGAAATTTACTTCACACCAGAAAAATGTACTCAGCTGTTTATAACACTAGTGGAAATGAGGGGAGACTAAGTTATATGGCAGTGCAGAGCAGACAAAGACCAGTTAGTTTCTTTTAGGGGTTTTTGGTGAGAGGAAAGTAGACAGTTGTTCAAGAGTCTCGAAAAAGTTGGCATTTTGTCATGATCCTTCAAGGAGAAGCAGGGTGAAGTCTGCAGCAAGTTTGTAGTCTGTTTTTGCCTTGACTGTGTTTTGACTCTTGCCTCATTTGTTCAGCTAGGATTGTGTCTAAGCAGAGCCTCCGCATCTGTTCTTAACCTCAACTGCAGCCTTATCCTTTTACCCGTGTGCCGGACGCTCCTGGCTTACCTACGAGGATCCCAGAAGGTAAGAACAAAAAATCCTAGTCACAGATTCCAGGATAAAAAATCAAGTGGAACAGTGGCATGTTAGTACTACTGAGTTTTCATGGTCTGATCTTCTAATAGACTGATTTCTATCATCTGCTGTCAGCTACCAGATGATAGTAAAGACCATGTCACCTGTCAAGATGATCAGTGAGCTATTCTGCAATGCTAGATAGAGGCAGTGGATAATAGAAATGGCTATTAATAGTGATATCAGATGCTGGGTTACGCACTCCATGGATGTAAGTGTGAATCCTCACAATGATTCTGTAGGTCTTATAGATGAAGAACTGAGGCACAGAGAGGTTAAGTAACTTGACCAATGTCATGAGACTAGCAAAATGGCAGAGCTAAGATCAGTCCCAGTTCTGAGATTTTTCCACTATACTACTATGCCTCATTGAGAGCCTGTGTTTTCATTTTGTTAAGTCCAGGTGAGCAAACTAGAAACTAGAGCCCTGTGGACTTTCAGCAAAATATACAGTGACTACTGGTGTTGGTGGCGATTTATCTCCTTTTCAAATACATGCATGTTTTAAGCTATGTAATAGTCTTGGAGATGTCTTAAGATGTGATGTCATGTGTGATGTTGTAAAATGAAGGTTGTAAGGAAACAGTAAAGCACTTTGGAAATTAAAACTCAACAAATTATTTTTTGTCTTCAGTTATCCTGGTGTGTTTGTGTTTCTTTTCTTGTTGAAATAGTAAGGCATTCTTGGATCAATACTGATACTTTAAAAGAAGTTGTTAATATGAGGTCACTTTGATGTTCTGTGTGGTTCATATGAGCAGATTTACTGCAGTAAAACTTCTCAACCTTTTCATGTAATTATATTAGAAACTCTTTGCTTTTAATGCAGTAATTTGTGGAAATAACTCTTTCTCTAGGTTGCCTACCATTGTAAAATGCTAGGTTTTGATGCCTACGACTGGCTATTGGCTTGGTGTGAAAAAAGAGAAGATAAATGGCAGGAAATGAAAAGTGCCCACCTAAGTCTCTCAGTATTTAAATAAGTCTTAAAGAATGGTCCCCTGATGTGAAACATAAGTATTCAAAGATGCTTGACATTTTATTTTTTTATAAGATCAAGAAGGCATTTAAAACCATAGATGGAATTGCTTCATTTAAAAATCATCTTATTTTTTGACTACAAAAGGAAATCATATATATTGTACAGCTCAAACATTCCAGAAATATGTAAAGTAATCAGTGAAAGTTTCTCCTAATATTACTGTGCTGGAACAACCACAGATTACAGTTTGGGGTAAATGCCTTCAGATTTGCATAGAATGCCATTAATTTTAAACACCATAGGACTATAGTATAGTTTATGTGTTATCACTCTTTTACCTAGCCGTGTATCTGACACATCTTTCCATATCAATAATAAGTCTTCTCACATTCTCTGTAATGGTTTAGGTGTTCCACTGACTAGATATATCATAATTCATCTCACCAACTTTTAATTCCTAGGCCTCTGCCATATTTCTAAAACTTTGATATCATGAACAATGCTATAGTGAAAAACTTTGTACACATATCTTATTTCCTGCTTCATTTTCACCATACTGAATTTTATTTAGGTTCCAAGCAGGAGAACCAGAAGATTGTTGGATAAAAGCAGAACATTCCATATAACCTGTGGTGTGACTATATGTATTTTTTCAGGTGAGAAAACCAAAAGATATGAAAATATTATGTTAGAACACATTTTATAAATGATATTTTTGTTGTTCTGTAAATTATTTGCTGTCACCTACTTGTGATTTTCTCATCACATACCTTAATTTTCTCTTCCATGTGTTTAAAGAGAGTTGCCTAATCGTGCTATAGAAAATGAGCATGTCTTACACGTGTATATAGTTTTCACATTATAATGTATGAGAGTTGGCCCTGAAGCTGTTAATAATTGTTTCCTACAAGTAAATACTTTCATTTAGAAAGACTAAAAGAAATATAATAAAAATTTTTAAGGTTTAAAAATAAAGATATGATAGGACTTTAAATGCATACAAATTACAATGTGAAATGTACATTCATAGAATGTGATTCCATTTAAAAGTATATTTGATAAATGTTTCTTTGATATTAATACTTGGTATTAAATATCAAATGTTTGTGGAAATTTATCCTGTTCAGTTCCAGGTTAAAATATCAAGTGACTAAGGGTTCTAGAGGGGAGGGGGGTGGGGGGATGGGTTAGCCTGGTGATGGGTATTAAAGAGGGCACGTACTGCATGGAGCACTGGGTGTTATACGCAAACAATGAATCATGGAAGCTACATCAAAAACTAATGATGTAATGTATGGTGATTAACATAACATAATAAAAAAAAGAGAAAAAAAAGAAAAACAAATATCAAGTGAGAATCTTTTGGTTTTTAAAAGAGTCATTTTAAAATAAGTTTTTATCCTGAACATTTATGTGATATTTTTCAAATTTTGGAACAGAAAGTTATAAACATATTAATTAAACACTTGGACTTTGGAGGCAGGGTTGTGTAGGATCTATCCCCAACTGCCCTCCTACCTAACTATGTGACATAAGCTCTCTGGTCTTTGATTTGTTGTTGTTTTAATGATAAAGTGATTGACAGTAGCACCTGCCTCATGGTTTGAAGACTGAAATGAGATCGCCCATAGGAAGTTTTTAGGGTGAAATTAGTTATAATTTACAATCTCAGGTGTTAATTATCTCAGTGGCATAGCACCTGACATTTCCAACCTGTTTTGACACCAGGGACATTTGGTCTGGATATGTATGTATGACTATTTTGAATCAGACATGTTTTGGTGCAGCTACTATTAAGAGGTCATTAAGCTCTCTGCTTTTAAAAAGTTGCCAAGTACTGTCGAAACAGGCATCTGCACTGTTTTGTCCCTGGACAGCTTATTGGTGGGTCCCACATCTGCAGGCGAGAGATGGGGAGAGGCTCGGGTAGGATTAGGACTCCATACCACTCAAGAGGCTGGGGATAGAGTAAGAGTCCAGGATTAGATGAGGACCAAGGGTGTGGCTGGGGTCAGGGCTGGGTTAGAACAGAGGAAGTGAAAGGTCAGGAAAGCAGGAGGGCCCGGGAATGTGGACACATTTGTAACTTGGTTTGTTCTAAACTGCAGTTGTATCCAAATATTCTGGTTTAGTTGGAGAACAACGAAGAGACTGAGATCTTGTAGAGTCTTGCCATGAATGAACACGCATTCCAGACTGTTTGCATTCTGCCACTCACTAGTTGTCTAACCTTAGTTGGGTGACCTCTTCTAAATTTTGTTTTCTTCTCTGTGAAATAGGGATGTTTCTACCCACTTTAATGTTTTGTTGAGAGAATTAAATCAGAATATCTATTCAAAATAACTGGCCTGGCTTTCTCCCTGCTGCCCAAAATTAGAAGCCCCAATTTCTTTTGACCTGAAAGGTCATTTAAAGAAGGTGAATGTATCCCTTAAGGGTGTATCTCAGACAACTGATACCTAGAGCTTTTTTTCAGGAGAATTAAGAAAGAAGGAGCCACAAAGCATGTAGTTAACATACAAACCTTAATTTAAAATGAAAGGATTTTTTTAAACTTACACATTTCAGATATGATAAAGCTAGAGGACACAGACAGTTTTGCTTAAATAATGTTTTATGCTTATGCCATAGTCAAGTCTCACCTGGACAGCCTCTTAAAAATTTCCTTAGAACTCTCCCCTTGCTTGTTAGTTAACCAACTTCTAAATTCCTGTCCACTTTTTTATTTATTTATTTTTTACATTTTTAAAAATTTTATTATGTTATGTTAATCACCATACATTACATCATTAGCTTTTGATGTAGTGTTCCATGATTCATTGTTTGTGTATAACACCCAGTGCTCCATTCAGTACATGCCCTCTTTAATACTCATCACCAGGCTAACCCATCCCCGAACCCCCCCTCCCCTCTAGAACCCTCAGTTTGTTTCTCAGAGTCCATAGTCTCTCATGGTTGGTCTCCCCCTCCGATTTCCCCCCCCTTCATTTTTCCCTTCCTACTATTTTCTTTTATCTTAACATATAATGTATTATTTGTTTCAGAGGTACAGGTCTGTGATTCAACAGTCCTAGGCAATTCACAGCACTCACCATAGCACATACCCTCCCCAATGTCTATCACCCAGCCACCCCATCCTTCCCACCCCCCACCATTCCAGCAACCCTCAGTTTGTTTCCTGAGATTAAGAATTCTTCATATCAGTGAGATCATATGATACATGTCTTTCTCTGATTGACTAATTTCGCACAGCATAATACCCTCCAGTTCCATCCATGTCTTTGCAAATGGCAAGATTTCATTCCTTTTGATGGCTGCATAATATTCCATTGTGTGTGTGTGTGTGTGTGTGTGTGTGTGTGTGTGTGTGTGTGTGTGTATACCACCTCTTCTTTATCCATTCATCTGTCGATGGAAAGGTTGGCTCTTTCTATAGTTTGGCTATTGTGGACATTGCTGCTATAAACATCGGGGTGCATATACCCCTTCGGATCCCCCCACTTGTATCTTTGGGGTAAATACCCAGTAGTGCAATTGCTGGGTCATAGGGCAGCTCTATTTTCAACCTTTTGAGGAACCTCCATACTGTTTTCCAGAGTGGCTGCACCAGCTTGCATTCCCACCAACAGTGTAGGATGGTTCCCCTTTCTCCGCATCCTGCCAACATCTGTCAATTCCTGACTTGTTAATCTTAGCCATTCTGACTGGTGTGAGAGGGTATCTCACTGAGGTTTTGATTTGGATTTCCCTGATGCTGAGCGATGTTGAGCACCTTTTCATGTGTCTGTTGGCCATTTGGATGTCTTCTTTGGAAAAATATCTGTTCATGTCTTCTGCCCATTTCTTGATTGGATCATTTGTTCTTTGGGTGTTGAGTTTGATAAGTTCTTTATAGATTTTGCATTTTTTTAAAGATTTTTTAAATTTATTTGAGAGAGAGAGAATGAGAGGTAGAGAGCACGAGAGGGAAGAGGGTCAGAGGGAGAAGCAGATTCCCCACTGAGCAGGGAGCCCGATGCAGGACTTGATCCTGGGACTCCAGGATCATGACCTGAGCTGAAGGCAGTCGCTTAACCAACTGAGCCACCCAGGCGCCCAAAAGCTGTTTATCTTGATGAAGTCCCAATAGTTCATTTTTGCCCTTGCTTCCCTTGCCCTTGGTGATATCTCCAGGAAGAACTTGCTGTGGCTGAGATCAAAGAGGCTGCTGCCTATATTCTCCTTTAGGATTTTGAAGGACTCCTGCCTCACCTTTAGGTCTTTGAACCATTATGAGTCTATCTTTGTGTGTGGTGTAAGGAAATGATCCTGTTTCATTCTTCTGCATGTGGCTGTCCAATTTTCCCAACACCATTTGTTGAAGAGAATGTCTGTTTTCCATTGTATATTCTTTTCCTTTTTGTTGAAGATGAATTGACCATAGAGTTGAGGGTCCATTTCTGGGCTCTCTATTCTGTTCCATTGATCTATGTGTCTGTTTTTGGGCCAGTACCATACTGTCTTGATGATGACAGCTTTGTAATAGAGCTGGAAGTCCGGAATTGTGATGCCGCCAGCTTTGCTTTTCTTTTTCAATATTCCTCTGGCTATTTGGGGGTCTTTGCTGGTTCCATACAAATTGTAGGATTATTTGTTCCATTTCTTTGAAAAAAGTGGATGGTATTTTGATGGGGATTGCATTGAATGTGTAGGTTGCTCTAGGTAGCGTTGACATCTTCTCTATATTTGTTCTTCCAATCCATGAGCATGGAACGTTTTTCCCTTTCTTTGTGTCTTCCTTGATTTCTTTCATGTGTATTTTATAGTTTTCTGAGGATAGATTCTTTGCCTTTTGGTTAGATTTATTCCTAGGTATCTTATGGTTTCAGGTGCAATTGTAAATGGAGTCAACTCCTTAATTTCTCTTTCTTCTGTCTTGTTGTTGGTGTATAGGAATGCCACTGATTTCTGTGCATTGATTTTATATCCTGCCACTTTACTGAATTCCTGTATAAGTTCTAGCAGTTTTGGGGTGGAGTCTTTTGGGTTTTCCACATACAGTATCATATCATCTGCAAACAGTGAGAGTTTGTCTTCTTCTTTGCTGATTTGGATGCCTTTTAATTTTATTGTCTGATTGCTATGGCTAGGACTTCTAATACTATGTTGAAGAGCAGTGGTGATAGTGGATATCCCTGCCATGTTCCTGACCTTAGAGGGGAAGCTCTCAGTTTTTCCTCATTGAGAATGATATTCGCTGTCAGTTTTTCATAGATGGCTTTTATGATATTGAGGTATGTACCCTCTATGCCTATACTCTGAAGAGTTTTGATCAAGAAAGGATGCTGTACTTTGTCAAATGCTTTTTCTGCATCTATTGAAAAGATCATATGGCTCTTGTTCTTTCTTTTACTAATGTATTGTATCACATTGATTGATTTGCGGATGTTGAACCAACCTTGCAGCCCAGGGATAAATCCCACTTGGTCGTGGTGAAGAATCCTTTTAATGTACTGTTGGATCCTATTGGCTAGTATTTTGGTGAGAATTTTTGCATCCATGTTCATCAAGGATATTGGTCTGTAATTCTCCTTTTTGATGGGGTCTTTGTCTGGTATTGGGATCAAGGTAATGGTGGCCTCATAAAATGAGTTTGGAATTTTTCTTTCCATTTCTATTTTTTTGGAACAGTTTCAGAAGAATAGGTATTAATTCTTCTTTAAATGTTTGGTAGAATTCCCCTGGGAAGCCATCTGGCCCTGGGCTTTTGTTTGTTGGGAGATTTTTGATGACTGCTTCAGTTTCCTTAGTGGTTATAAGTCTGTTGAGGTTTTCTCTTTCTTCCTGGTTCAATTTTGGTAGTTGATACATCTCTAGGAATGCATCCATTTTTTCCAGATTGTCTAATTTGCTGGCATAGAGTTGCTCATAAGATGTTCTTATAATTGTTTGTATTTCTTTGGTGTTGTTTGTGTTCTCTCCTCTTTCATTCATGATTTTATTTATTTGGGTCATTTATCTTTTCTTTTCGATAAGTCTGGCCAGGGATTTATCACTCTTGTTAAATCTTTCAAAGAACCAGCTCCTAGTTTCGTTGATCTGTTCTACTGTTCTTTTGGTTTCTAGTTCATTGATTTCTGCTCTGATCTTTATGATTTCTCTTCTCCTGCTGGGTTTAGGCTTTATTTGCTGTTCTTGCTCCAGCTCCTTTAGGTGTAGGGTTAGGTTGTGTATTTGAGACCTTTCTTGTTTCTTGAGAAAGGCTTGTATTGCTATATACTTTCCTCTCAGGACTGCCTTTGCTGTATCCTAAAGATTTTGAAGAGTTGTGGTTTCATTTTCATTGGTTTCCATGAATTTTTTTAATTCTTCTTTAATTTCCTTGTTGACCCATTCATTCTTTAGTAGGATGCTCTTTAGCCTCTATGTATTTGAGTTCTTTCCGACTTTCCTCTTGAGTTCTAGTTTCAAAGCACTGTGTTCTGAAAAGATGCAAGGAATAATCCTAGTCTTTTGGTACCAGTTGAGACCTGATTTGTGACCTAGGATGTGATCTATTCTGGAGAATGTTCCATGGGCACTAGAGAAGAATGTGTATTCTGTTGCTTTGGGATGGAATGTTCTGAATCTATCTGTGAAGTCCATTTGGTGCAGTGTGTCATTTATAGTCTTTATTTCCTTGTTGATCTTTTGCTTAGATGATCTGTCCATTTCAATGAAGGGGTGTTAAAATCCCTCACTATTATTGTATTTTTGTTGATGTGTTTCTTTGTTTTTGTTATTAATTGGCTTCTATTATTGGCTGTTCTGATGTTAGCGGCATAGATATTTACTGTTGTTAGATCTTCTTGTTGGATAGACCCTTTAAGTAGGATATAGTGTCCTTCCTCATCTCTTATTACAGTCTTTGTTTTAAAATCTTATTTGTCTGATATAAGGATTGCCACCCTAGCTTTCTTTTGGTGTCCATTAGTATGGTAAATTGTTTTCCACCCCCGCACTTTCAGTCTGGGGGTGTCTTTGGGTCTAAAATGAGTCTCTTGCAGACAGCGTATCGATAGGTCTTGTTTTTTTATCCAATCTGTTAGCCTGTGTCTTTTGATTGGGGCATTTAGCCCATTTACATTCAGGGTAACTATCGGAAGATATGAATTTAGTGCCATCGTATTGCCTGTAAGGTGACTGTTACTGTATATTGTCTGTGTTCCTTTCTGGTCTAAGTTACTTTTAGGCTCTCTTTTTGCTTAGAGGACCCCTTTCAATATTTCTTGTAGGGCTGGTTTTGTGTTTGCAAATTCTTTTATTTTTGTTTGTCCTGGCAGCGTTTTATCTCGCCTTCTATTTTCAATGATAGCCTAGCTGGGTACAATATTCTTGGCTGCATATTTTTCTCATTTTGTGCTCTGAATATATCATGCCAGTCCTTTCTGGCCTGCCAGGTTTCTATGAATAGGTCTGTTGCCAATCTAATATTTCTACCATTGTAGGTTACAGATATCTTTTCCCGAGCTACTTTCTTCTGTCCACCTTTTATTAGACGTTTTTCCTTCCTCTAATTTGATTCTGGCAGGAGCTTATCAATCCTTTAAACAAACTTGAAGTTAGTTAGCATTCTAGTCCTTCTCTTGCTTCTATTTGTGTTTGTGAGTCCTTCAGAACTCTTTGTGTATCTACAGCTCATGTGCTAGGTTGGAGAGAACCATGAGGTTTTCCAGTTTCTACACTAGTTTTCTGTTGAATAACTACACACCCTGTATTGGTATAGACTGTAATGGTTCACTAACCAGTTTCAGGTCACTAATCTCATTAAGTCTCCTTTTTCTGTCATTGTCATTTTACAAAGAGCTAACCTGGGGTGTTGGTAATCATGCAGTGTGGCCAAAAAACCAGATTTCCAATTAATTATCTGTCGTCCTTTCTAGTACATTGTAATGTACTTTTAATCTGAACCTTATTTCACCTATGAGAAGACATTCTCGTCCAATGTACAAGTTCATTTGCTCCTTCCTTGTCCAGCCTCCTCAAGATAATTTTCCTTTTTCCTAGCTGTGCCAAAATGAATTTGTCTTCAACTCTATTAATTTCCTAATGCTTCCACCTTCTGTGTGAGCTCCGCTTTGGTTGAGCTCTCTGTTTACTGTGCCAGTGTGGGTAGATTATTAAATGGTAATTATTATTTTCCTGAATTTTTAATCCCAATGAAGTGATTACCAAGACTTTTGCTATGGGGTTTAGGAAATTTAGGAAATTCCTTCTTGAATTTATGGATTGTGAGAAATTTTACCTGGCTAAAAGTCTTTCAGTGGGCCTATATTTTAGGTTGAGTGGCAGTGAAAGATACAAGGCCTATAACAGATTTGGAGATAGAGGAGAGGTGAAAAATGTAGAAAAACTCAAATATCTAGGAGCTGCTTAAATAAATAAATACATGGGCATATTGTCACACACTCACATGTGTTGTTTCCTAACCCTGACTTGCTAGGGGTATTTTATTCTAGCCTTTGAAAATTCAGTTTCTTTACATGATTTCTTATACTCAGCTCTCTATAATCAAGACTTGTTATGTCTTTAAAATTTCCCTTTGCAATTTAATATTTTAGTGCTCAGATAGCTGTCAAAGTTTGACCCTGTGTTAGCTTAGGGAGAGGAAAGGAGTCCTCTTCACGGAGTGTATATGGAAATCCCACTGATTTGTGCCCCGTGTGATTCTGCAGGTGTGCATGTGGCTGCCCATCTGGTGAATGCCCTCAACTTCTCAGTGAACTACAGTGAGGATTTCGCGGAACTGAATGCAGCAAGATACCGAGATGAGGTGGGTGGTCTTTGTCTTCTCATTCTTTCACTTGTCATGAGCTGACTAATGAAGGTCTGTGATTTTCACGGAAAATTTGTACCTTGCTGCTCCTTTTGAGTGCTTTTGAGATGCAGTTGTCAGGTTGAGTTTTGTTCCTTTTCAATAGAAAGTATAGGTAATTACTGTTTCACAGTCTCTCCTGCTGAAAATGGGAGTTCGAGAGTGTCAACTTTTTATATTCTGCAGCATTAGGATGGCTGCCACTCAGGCCGGCCTTCTGCCTCCCAGCAGTGTTGCCTGGTTCCCATCCAGTGGAGACTATCCAGTGTTTTTACAGGGCACAAGTTTTTTTTTTAATAAGTCAGATACTGCACTTGGCTGGGGGGGAAGGGCAGAAAAACGGGTTGATTCTTTGAGGATCCTGGATCATCTGTTTATTTGACTTAAAAAATATTATGTGTTTTAATGGTTACTCTGCTTTGTTTTAATCCTTGAAATAGGTGACCTTGAGTTCAGTTTTGTAGCAGACAGTGTCTGACTTGGGGCTGCTTTTCTCCATGGGAAGCCACCCATGAGATGAAATTATATGTGCAGGGTGCTGGGCGAGAGCCCGATGAACACATATACAGCCCTGATTAGCTCTCTGTTGCTCAGGACTTCATCCTGTCCTCAGTCTGCCTTTCCTTCACTCCAAGACTGCATCAAAATCAAACTGCTAGGTGTGGAATTGGATCACCCTGCCCTGTTCTGCTAAGTCTGGCAGTGACTTCGTAAGATTGTTCTCCCATCGTCCCCAACTCCATCTTCTCTTCCACGTTATCACCGGAGTTATTGAGATTAATACTGCTATGATTGTGTGCTTGATCTCCTTCCCAGAACAAAGCAAAGGGAAAACTGACAACGAACACAGAAACAAATCACAAAGCCAAAATAGCAAGCAGTCTTTGATAAGTCCTTTGACGAGATGCTAGTATTCTTAAAAACGCTGATATGATTTAACTGGTCTGGGTTGGGGTCAGGTATTGATATTTCTTGAAAATTCACCAGCTAATTGGGGTGAGCACCCAGCATTAAGGTCCACTGACAAAGCCAGCTCCTTCACATGCCACTGGAAGCTCTTCATATGTAATGACTCCAGAACCCAGAACTGGGTCTGTCTCCATGTCTTTCTCCCGCTGCCTCCCCCCATTCTTCTCTCCCCCTCAGCCCGCAGCACATGGGCTTCCTTGCTTCCTACATCTGCTACACATGTTCCTCTTTATCTTTCCTTCTTTGCATCTCTCTTTTGTTTTTGTCATCTTGGGTCTTTAAGAACTAAAATGGTTCTCTCATTTTAATGTTGTATACTTGGAATATTGTAAAATATTCCAAAATTTTAATCATTTTAGGTTTTTAGTTATTTTCTTTCATTTTATGAAGGATGTGTGCCCCAAATAAAATATTTTAAAACCTCAAAAGTTTAAAAGTGAAACCTTCTCCTCCAAAAGTACCCGCAGTTAATAACTTTCTGTTCTCTTATATTTTGAGAGGCATTTTATGAAAACTGTTCCTCAGCAATTTTCTTATTTCCATAATTACATGGACTGTAGCTTGCTGTATCAGAAAGTATAGATCTATCATTCTCTTAATATTAATGTTCAGTAGTTTATTTTTAGCCCTTTCCTTATTCACAAATGTTTAGATTGTTTTCAGTTTCTGTTATGAACCACACTCCAATGAATTAATTTTTTATATGCTTCCACTAGGCAGATTCCTAGAAGTAGAATTTAGTTTCAAAGGTATGTACGTTTTTAGTTTTGATGGACGTTGCCAAGTTGCCTTCCAAAAAGGCTTCACTGGTTGACCCACTTCTACCAAGTTTGTCAGAATGCTTATATCTGCCCCTCAGTTGTTTTTGTTTTTCTTTAATTTTTGCCTATCTGACAGATGAAAAATGGTAACTCATTGTTTTAATTTGTATTTCCCCTTTCTTTGTTTCCTTCCTTCCTTCTTTCTTTTTTCCTCCCTCTCTTCTTTATTTTAATAAATATTTTGAGCCCCTCATAGGCGTCAGGCAGTGTGCTAGAGGAGGATGAAAACACACACACATTGCATGCATAAACACATAATCTTCCATGAGTTGTCTTTGAGAAAGACCGATTTGTGCCATGCACCCTGTTGTCCTGTGTTTTGTACTCTCTGTCTTCTCTAGATTTAGGGTGACCCACCTTCCAGCTCCTGGGTGGCACGTTCTTGATGACCTAGCTGAATCTGCCTCATCCTGTCATCTGCAAAACTGTCTCTTACCCTCACATTCCATCTCCATTCCCTGGCAGTAGGAATTGTTCCATCTTCTGAGTTCCCACAGCTATTTGTTCATATTTCTGGTATTACCACTTTGTTCAGCTGGTCTTGTATTTTCACTAGTTGTTTATATACTAGGTTCCTCTAGGTCATCCTTGAGCTGCGTTCCTAATGGCAGAGGTAGAAGTCATCTGGCCCCAATGGGATGAGGAGCTATTGCTGGGCAAGTGGCCCTTATTCAAGGCTTCTGAAATTATTTCATATGAATGTCTTCCCACTTTGGATATAGGGTGGCCTGACTCCAAAGTCAATGGAGGCCTAAGAAAGAATTTCCAAAGTTGTGCAATACTAAGCACCATTAAGATGAAAAACAAATCCAAAAATCTCCTGGGGATTGACCTCAGTTTTCCAGAAGATAGAAAGGGAGTTGCCTAAGGTCCATTTCATCACGAGAGATGTAGTGTAAAGGACAGATTACACTAACAATATTACTTTTTACAATTCTGAGTAATAAGAACCTGTCCTTTTTATTTGAGTATCATCACTACTTTGCATGGTATTTGAAACATTATAAGTATTCAATTAGTATTCTTTGCATTGAATTTACAGCAACAACCCTCCCTACATATTTTATCACTTTTGAGTCTGTCTCCACATCTTGTAGGTGCAGTTTGGCAATTATGGTGGACAAAGTATATATTAATATTTCCACATTATAGTCAAAGATATTGAGTCTCAGTTGGTCAAAGAATGGGCTTCAGGCCACTACTGCTGGCTTGTAATTAGCCATTAGTATGAAAGTCTACATTTTCTGACTCTGTATCCAGTGCTCTTTCTTTCTCAGAAGGACAGTCTTCTTTGTGTTAGATTTTTTTTAAAGATTTAATTTTTTATTAGAAAGAGAGAGTGTGTATGTGCATAAGTAGGGGGGAGGACAGAGGGAGAGGGAGAAGCAGACTCCCCACTGAACGTGGAACCCAATGCGGAACTGGACGTGGGGGGGCTCGATCCCAGGACCCTGAGATCATGACCTAAGCTGAAGGCAGATGCTTAACCAACTGAGCCACCCAGACACCCCTGGATAGATATTTTTAATTTTTCAGCTGAGAAACTGAATTAGGGAAGGTCTGAAACTTGCTAGTGAGTGACAGAGGCAGGACTCCAGCCCAAATATCCTTATTCCAGAACCTGTGTTGCATGAAAGCTTTATGAATCTTGGTTGAATTTCTCATTTCCACTGAGAGAATAGTATCGTAAATGCCTAATGGATCATAGCCAGCAGATTCCTTGTAGAATTTTACATTATCAATGTTTTGTTTTTCAGTCAATTTTTTTTCCCCTTTTTCTCAGGATCCTAGAAAACTTCTCTTCACAACTGGTAAGTTGTTATTCATTGCTCTTTCTGAAAATTCAGGGAAATATTTGAGAATAAGCATCATCAAACTACACAGCAATTAAATGTATGTTAAAGTAGAACATGGAAAATTTGCAACCAGAACAAATGTTACCAAACATAAATTCCAATAAAAACAGAGAGGCAAGGTAAACAGTGGGGTTGGAATGAATGAAGAGTAAAAGTAACTAAATGCATTTGCCTTCCATATGTTCTAATAACAATAGTGTGATGCCATATGGTTATTGAGGACCTGCTTTGTGCCCCTGGCTGTGGCAAGTAGTATTGGAGATAATACAAGTGGAATAGTCTTCTACCCTCAAGGTGTTGGAAAGAAACACCAAGCACTCTGATTATCGATGTAGTTCTTATAACTCAGTAATTTAGTAGGACATTTGATGATTTTAAAGCCTATATAAAAAGAGGAGGAATGAACAGTCATTAAAATCAGTTATTTTTTCTTGAAATGTGTTTCCTTTTTCATCTGTAATTTACTTTTCCTTCTTAAGCATATTGGTCATGAAATCTCAGTCTAGACTATTCATTTGTTAAAGCACGTGTAAACATCTCAAAATTTTGTCCTGATGTTAGTATAATTCTTACTAAAATTCTTCTCTTTCTCAACCATACAATTATAAGGATGAGAGCAGAAAACTGCATTTGGAGGATTTTTAGCACATTATTTCAGGATAAGGATGATTAGGTCACTGAGATGGTCTGTCATAAAGGCTTGGCTATCATAAACACCCTATTAAGGATCAAGATGGCATATAAGACTGAGTCATGGCTCTGTCAAATGCATTGTTTTTCTTTTCAATCAGTTTTATGATGAAAATAGCAATAATTCTGGTGTTTTCCCCTTCCCTGTCACAACTATATATTTAGATTTATAAAATATGTTTTTTTTTCCTGTTTATGTATGCATGATGTTTGCCACTTACAAAATATTTCATTGTTTTCTCTTTAGGAACACAATTTTAGTTTTGCTTACAACTTTGCTCATTGAAAGCATATTTTTTATTTAAGCCTTAAGAATTGGATGAGGAATAGGAAGGAGAAAAAACAGAAAAATCCTTATGTATGAATCAATGTATGTTTTGGTTCATAAATTCATTGTTTTAATATTTTTTTCTACAGTACCAAGTATAGGTGAAACATTGGGACATGTAAAATGTTTGAAAAAGTTTAGTTTTCAAACATATAAAAAGATTTCTTGTATAACCAAGATATGAACCTTACTATAATGAATACTTGTGTAGAAGCAGGTGATCTCTTCATATAGTATGAAACCCCACCATTCTATGTTGTTTCCCAGAAGTTCCCATGAATGGTGTTGGACTAACTAGAAATAATATTTAAAAACATAAATTTCCTGGCTCCATCCCAGAGAGTCTCTGTTATGTGACCCGACAGTATGTTTCATTAACCTTCCCATGTACCTCAGTAGCCTCCGTTTCACCCTTACTATGCATCTCATCATACTCTTGTAATTCCCTTCTCACAACATCTAAATTTTGTCTACTCTTACCTGATTCTCTTTCTCTCTTTTTAACCCAGTCCACTTCTGCTCATCCTTTGAGTCTCAGCTGACATGCCCCATCATGCACACATTCATCCCTGATTCCGATAGGCAGAGCTGGTCTTTTTTGTTGGCCTGGGTTCCTAAAGATACATAGTAAAGTGCTATATTGTAGAATAATTTATATTCTTAGATGTATAATCTTTTCCACTGGAAGGTGAGCTTCTCAGGTTTGAGGTAGGGCTCCCTCTAGGGCATGCAGTACTCTAGGTACATATTTTTTTTTTAAGATTTTTATTTATTTATTTGACAGAGAGAGACACAGCGAGAGAGGGAACACAAGCAGGGGGAGTGGGAGAGGGAGAAGCAGGCTTCCTGCTGAGCAGGGAGCCCAATGCGGGGCTCAATCCCAGGACCCTGGGATCATGACCTGAGCTGCAGGCAAATGCTTAATGACTGAGCCACCCAGGTGCCCCTTGTGGAGTTTCTGTCAAAACAAACAATGGGAATCACCCCAAATCAGCATGTCAGCCTCATTTTAGTGTCCCAGTCTACATCATTTCATGAAAGAAGTAGTGCGCTGGCCAGAAGGAGTCATTTAGTTCCCAGCTTGGAACCCAGCCTCAAACCCCAAAGTATGAGTCCAGAGCTTCAAGGGCATCTGATTGGCCCTACCACGTAGTAGGTGAGAGAACAAAACAGAATCAAAGGATGGCAAGGGAGAAGAGACTGTCTTCTACAAATGGACTTAACCTAGTTTTGTACTACTAATACGTCTATGATGAAAACTTTTTCATAGCTATCTTTGAATGTTGTTAGGTACAGTGCCTAGGAAAAATCCCGTTTCTGATGGAGGAATGCATGCATGTTTTTCGATGTTCTAGTGATAAAGACTATTTTTTATTAATTAATATATTTCTTGGATTTTAGTTTGTTTAATATTACATAGAGTCTTCTCTCTCTCTCTGTCCTTAAATATTTTTCAATGTAACCTACAACTGAGAAATAACCTTTATTGTTTCATAGAAACTAAAGCCAGTGGCAGTTCAAGTGATATAAAATATGGTAGTTAGATCACTCAATAAGAAATGTTAAAAATAGTCCAATTAAGAACTTATAAAGAAAAAGAATTTATAAAGTAAAACAAGTTTAAAAGATTGGTTTATTCAAACATGCATTTCAAAACATTTGCTACATTATTTCCAAATTTGGTAATACCTTGTATGATGAGAATAAAATGCACAGTATCCAATTTCAATTAGAAAAATCCTCATAAACAAATAGAATTGTGTTTCCAGTTATGTTAGAAACAACAGGATAATGAGTACAAGATGGTATATTTCTGACCACATCTGGGTATAGATGAAAATGATCCCTCAGTTTCATCTAGAAATGGCAGTACACTGCAGTCGTTCATTTTAAAGGCAGCTAATTAACAAATCTAATATGCATAGATAAAAAGTAATAAGAATAAACATACAAGCATGTGTTTCCTAAGGAAATAAGTTTAGATTTTGCTTCATAACTTGAGGGATTCAAAGAGACAGTGTACTTCACTTTGGCAAGTAACTTTGTCCAGTAAGCTTTGACTAGCTCAGTCATTTCCAACCTGTGCTTCCTGACTCCTGGAATGTATGTACTAATAGAGGCTAATATGTTGGGTCTTAGCTGAGCTGTCCTTGAAAGCTAGGTTAGGGTGCCCTTTGATGTACCCGGAAAACATTCAAACTTAGCTCTCTTTTAGCATTTAGTGCCCTAGGTTGCATTTCTCCTTATCCTGTCTCCCACATTAGAATGGGATTTCTCTTAGAGCAGGATTCATTTTTTTCTCACTTAACAGTACACTATAGATGCCCAGAGAATATTTACTGAAGATAAAGCCAATTGTTTAACTCTTCTACTTGGTACATAGACCTCCTTTATAGCATCCAGATAATCAGTTAGCCAGCCTCTGTTTAATTCCAGTGACACAAAAGCATAGCTTCTTAAGGTACTCCCTTTTATTGACCATTGTAATTGTAATAATTTTTTAAATTTATTTATTTGACAGAGAGAGACACAGTGAGAGAGGGAACACAAGAAGGGGGAGTGGGAGAGGGAGAAGCAGTCCTCCAGCTGAGCAGGGAGCCCGATGTGGGGCTCTATCCCAGGACCCTGGGATCATGACCTGAGTCGAAGGCAGACGCATACCAACTGAGCCACCCAGGAGCCCCTGTAGTAATTTGTTTTTAAAGATTTTATGTATTTACTCGAGGTAGAGAGAGAGCACGTGAGCAGGGGGAGGGGTAGAGAGAGAGAGAGAGAGAAGCAAACTCCCCGCTGAGTGTGGAGCCTGTCACAGGGCTCGATCTCACGACCCTGAGACCATGACCTGAGTTGAAATCAAGAGTTGGACACTTAACCACCTGAGCCACCCAGGTGCCCCTAATTTTTTATTTTCATTGTTAATTATAAGTAACTTATTCTTCATTGATCTGGTCTATTTATAAATTACAAACTCTGGTCTTTTTATACTTCTGGGAACTAGAAAGGAAACCTGAATCCTTTAGATAAAAAATATAACTTCATAAATCTGAAAGAATATTAAAAAAGCATTGAATTGATTCTCCTAAGTTTACAGATGAGATCCAGTGAGATTGGGGTTTGTTCGAAGGGACAGTAACAGGACCATTAATCCCAGAATGTGCATCCCACCAGCCAAGCTGTCTACTTCACCTTCAAATGACTGACATCAACTATTTTACTACCCACCCTCCCAAAATCTTTCCAATACATTTTCCATGTTTTGTTCTTAAAAGGAGTTCTCTAGTTAAATGTCTGAGGAAAGATCTGTTCAAATTTAAACTGGCTTCTTGGTACTAGTACTTCCCAAAGACTGATATACTAATGTGTCCTGTGACTCTTCAAGGAATAGTTATTACACTTCTGAGTAATAGAAGTTAATATCTCAAGAAATTAATGCTCAAATAATATACTTTGAAAATTATGCCTCTACACTAAACATACTCAGTTTTTTCAGGTGTCCTGATGAAGTGATTTGTAGACATTCCATAACTAACCTTGGCATATTTAGAACCACGTGGGAAACCTTGTGTGCAAACACAGTATACCTTAATGAAGCCCCAAGAAAATTATGGGAAGGACCTCTCCAGCCACACATTTCACATCATGGAGCCATCTGGGATTCTATCATTTATTTATTCATTTGGTCAAATAAGGTTTTTTTTTTTAATTACTTGAAGCCAGAGAGAAAGACCTCCCCCTTTTTTTTCTTCAATTGTATTGAGTTATAATTGAAATACACTAAATTATACATATGTAAATTATGTTACTCAATTGGTTTTGATGTGTGTATACACTTGTGAAATCAAGAACAAAATCAAGATGACAAATATATCTATCATTCCAAAAAGTTTTTTGTGCCTTTATAATGCATCCTGCCCTTTATTCCTCTTAGCAACTGATCTGCTTTCTATCACTGGAGATTGGTTTGGATATTCTAGAATACTATATAAAAGGAATCACAGTTAAAAGGAATCACAGAGTTTATGCTCTTGGGATTTTTTGAGGGGGGAGAATGTCTGGCTTTTTTCACTTGGTCAAATAATTTTGTGATTCATGTATGTCGTTGCATATAGTTCATTTTTTTTAAACTGCTGATTAATTTTCCAGGTACAGATATTACAATCGTCTATCCATTCATTTGTTGATGGAAATTTGAGTTGTCTACAGGCCTTAACTGTTAAAAATAAAGTGGCTATGAATATTTTTGAACAAATCTTTATGTAGATATATGTTTATGTTTCTTTTGGGGAAATACTTGGGAGTGGAAAGGCTGGGTCATTTTATAGACATGTTGTTCCTTGTAAGTAACATTTTTCTGTACTATTAGTCCTTTAACTTAGTATAGTCATCTTGTTCTTCTCTTACCCCTAGGCAGTTAGTACTCACCTGGGGCAATGGGAAAGATGAGGAGAAGGGAGTGCCCTGGGAAAGAAGGGTAGAGAAGAGATGATTTGGATTAAGCACATCGGGAAGTGGAAGTCTTGTTAGGCTTCCAAATCTGGTACATTGGGAAGACTGAGGAAGAAAGAGTATCCAAGTTTAAGTATACAAAGACTAACTCCTAATTTCTCATATGACTCTTTACAAGTAGAAACTTCTTTCCACTCCACTGAGATTTCTAATGTTATTTTCCACTGTTTCTAAACTGTTGGGATTCTAATGATGCATACCTGTGTTGCTCTTCTCTCGTTCCCAGCTTGTCTGCTTCTGCTAGTGGCTTATAGTTCATGATGGCCCTTCTGTTTCCTAGGTGGTTCTTTGGCAAGGAAAGAAGTTGGGGGGTGTGTATGCTTTTGGAGATCCAGTTGTTTCAGTAGCTTTCCATATAGATTTAAGGTGGAATCTCTCAGCTGGGGCGTTTGGGACTTACTGTTGCTTATATGATTGTAAGAGTAAATAATGGTAACTTATAGACAGGATATTTTATTTGGTAGGAATAAGATAATAAGAAATGAGACTATTGTGATTTTAGTTCTTGTTGATATAGCGTATCAGCTATTCATTTTGGATATGCTATATGGGCTAACATTGGATTTTTAGCCATCTATCACGTCAGTATTAAGTTTGAAAACCAACACGTTTGCAGTTTTTTCTTTGTTAAAAAATGATGTTATATCACATCAGAAGCCCTGATTACAGCATATTTTCCATACTAAGGAAATATGCCTGCAAGTGTTCTTAAAACATCAGCACTATAATTATTTTCTTGAAATCTATTGTTTTGTTCTATGCTTAAAGTTGTGGTTTTTAGAAAGCTTTAGATTTTGTTTATTTTTTCATTAAAATTATTCTACGTAGTGAAGCCCAAAAGAAATTATTTGAATTGAAACTGAAGCAGCTACTAGTTCCATAAAAGGGGGGCTGAGAGAGTAAGGGAGTGTTAATACTGTGGGGGAGAAAACCAAAACAATAAGGGGTGCTCCATGTGAACCCAGCCCTGTTGTATATTTTTCCTCCTTTAAAACAATTTTATTAATGTATAATTAAGATATAATAAATTGCATCTATTTAATACATACTCTCATAAGTTTTGACTCTTGCATATATCCATGAAACCATCAATATATATAAATAAAACAAACACTATCAATATAATGAACCCATCTTAACACTAAGTCTTTAAAATTTTTTCATGCCTTTGGAAGTTTTTCCCTGCTGCCCCTCCCTGCCTCCCCATTAAACATATATTTAATTTCTGTTTCTTGTCTTCATTACTGATATTTGATCTTTGTACATTAGGTAGAGCACGTCCCTATAGAAGTATGTACACATTCACCGTTCTGAGTGGGATACTTGAAAATACTAAGGCGGACTCTTATATTAAAGGTAGAAAGACTGCTTTGTCCTAAGTACCTTGAAACTGCTAATTTTGGAAAGGCCTTTTTTTGAGAGGGAACATACAAGGAGATAGGCGATTTGAATTGGGCTTCCCACAGAGCAGCATAGTACTTTGGATTTTAAGGTAATAATTTTTTGTACTTTTTTTCACAGTATGTTTTAAGTTAAAATGTACTTATATACATTTTTTTTTATAGTTCCTGGCCTGACAGGGGTGGGCATGGTGTTGGTGCTCTTCCTGATGATTACAGCTTCTACGTATGCAATACGGTGAGTGTCAGAACCATTATTTCAATGTTTACTGGCCAGAATGTTTAGATTTTCCTCTGATTATCTTCACTTTCATACTCATTTCCTGGTGTGAGTTTGTTTTGCAGCAATTTAATGTAGTAGTCTAAATGAAGCTTTGGAAATATGGTTAGTTGACATCTGTTAAAATAATCAGAAATATCTGCATGCATATTTATTCATCTAGTTACAAGACTTTGAGCAACTGCAGGTATACATTTTCATGAGCACTCTCACATGTTCTTTCTGATGGATACATTCTTATTTCATAATATTTTACAGCATATTATGTTTCTGGTCAAACTTTTTGGTTAAGAAAGCAAAAAGAAGAGATAATACATAATATTCAAGAATCCCAAATCATTCTACTTGTTGAGATGTGAAATTTAATGGAAATGCACACACATGCACACACACATACATGCTTTGAAAATAATTGCCCCAGTAGAGTATTTTTTTTAAAGATTTTATATATTTAGAGAGACAGAGAGAGAGCACGCATGCAAGCAAGCTGGGTGGGGTGGGGGGAGCAGAAGGAGAGGAAGAGAGAGAATCTCAAACAGACTCTGCACTGAGCGCAGAGCCGAACATGGGGCTCAATCCCATGATTCTGAGATCATTACCTGAGCTGAAATCAAGAGTCTGATGCTTAACTGACTGAGCCACCCAGACGCCCCTACCCAACAAAGTATTAAAGTGAGTCTATCCTTGCACTTCTGAACACATACTTTTTCAGTTATGTCTTAAGAAAAAAATCTAGATGTACAATGACTGGGTCAAACTGTAAGCACATTTTTAAGACTTTTCATAAGAATTAAAAATCACCTTTCTCTAACATCAGTGCATGAGAGTGCCAATTTTGTGGGGAGAAATTTTCTTTTAGTTAGGTAAAGAATTCATTAAAAAACTTTCATTTTTCAGTTTTAAGTATTCTTGAAGGAAAATTAGGGCATCTGATATTTATTTGAAAGATTGAAGATATATGAGTGTTCTACATCTAGAAAAAAGTCTTTAATTGAGATATAGTTTTATAAAATGGAATATAAAGATCAGCTTCTATTTTCAACTGAGTCATTACATTTGTGCTCATAATAATTCAGTGAATGTTTATTAATCTTTAGTTTTTCATTTCTTTCTTTTTGTTAAAGATTTATTTATTTTAGAGAGAGAATGCACTCATGTGTGAGTGGGGGGAGGGGCAGAGAGAGAGAGGGAGAGAGAGAATCCCAAGCAGATTTCACGCTGAGTACAGAGCCCAACTTGGGGTTCATTTGCAGAACCCTGAGATAGATAATGACCTGAGCTGAAATCAAGAGTTGGTCACTTAACTGACTGTGCCAGTCAGGTGCCCCGTTTTTCATTTCTTAAAAGATATTATAAAACCAACTCTACTTTTCTCCAACCTTTATTGGGGGAACCATGGAATTCTTTTTTTTTTTTCCTAAAGATTTATTTTAGAGCGATAGAGATGGCGGTGGGGGAGGCAGGGAGGGAGGAGTTGAGGGAGAGGGAGAGAGAGAATCCTCAAACAGATTGCCTGCTGGTGCGGAGTCTGACATGGGGCTTGATCTCACAACCCTGAGATCATGACCTGAGCTGAAATCAAGAGTCAATGCTTTAAATGACTGAGCCACCCATGCACCCCTGGGGGAATCATGGAATCCCCATGGATTCCATGGATAATGGAGATAATCTTTTACCTTTTCTCTTTACCAGTGAGGAAATAAAGCATTAGAGAAATGAAGTGAATAAATGGCTTCATAGTTTGAGTAGTTGAATATAGTCTAGTAATTCACCAATGGTCCATTTGTGGTCAATCTATGAAAATAAGTAATATATTTTAATAGTAGGTGACAGGAATATCACATATTTTAACAAACATATTTTCATCTCAATAGATTTTTAAAAGGTGGTAATTAAGTCTGAGCTCTAGTTTGAATTAGAATAAGTCGAATAAACTAGGAATTAATTTCCTTTATAGAATTAAAAAATATGAAAGCTAGAGCTGAGATCACACTTACCAAAGAAATATAAGATACATTCCTAAGAAAATTATGAAAAAAACCAGTGATATTTTTAATTCTGCCATTATTTATATATGATAAGAAATTAAACATTTATAATTATTAGAAATAGAATTATTAAAAAGAATGCAACAACAAGTTATCATTATTTCCAGAAAGGTACATGTAATTGTCTAGCCAGAAAATCCAAGAGAACTATGGGAAAAAATAGTATTATACCAAATTAAAGAATCAGAATAGGTAAATGAACACAAAAAAATATTAAAAGTGGCTTTTATATAACAGCTATTATCAGTTTGGAAATTGAATAAAATAAAAAAGTACCACTCACAACTGCAACAAAAACATAGAATATCTAGAAATAAACTTAATAAGAAACTATTGAAAGCTATATAAAAAAACAGATCTTCACTGAGAGAAATAAGTAGAGATTTTTGAATAAAGACTGTCTTTATTCCATAACTCCATAAAGATGGAGTTCTTCCTCAATCATATTATAGGTTGTTGCAATTCCAATCAAAATTGTTTTTGAACTTAGCAAAACAGTTCTAAAATTTGTTTTTGAACTCAGCAAAACAGTTCTAAAGTTCATCTGAGGGAACATCCAAGTACATGTTCCAGAGAGGAGTAAAAGGGGGACGGTTGCTTACTAAACATTAACATGATTAAACTTCAGTAACTTAAAACAGAAGAGGACTTAACTGCAAAAATGACCAAGGAATTGACCCTCTTTGGTATTAAAGAGGGCACATTCTGCATGGAGCACTGGGTGTTATACGTCAACAATTATCATGGAACATTACATCAAAAATTAATGATGTAATGTGTGGTGATTAACATAATAAAAAAAGATGAATAAGTTCAGAGATCTGCTGTGCAACATGGTGTCTATGATGTGCACTCAAAAATTTGTTAAGAGGGTAGATCTTAAATGGTCTTATACAAAAACAAAAACAAAAAAGCAAAGGGACACAAGGGAAACTGGAGATGATGGTTATGTTTATTATATTGATTGTAGTGATGATATTGTGGGGGCATGCATGTATCCAAATTCCTCAAATTGTATACATTAAATATGAGTGGTTTCTTTTTGTGAATTAGTTACTCTTCAATAAAACTCTAAAAAAGAAAAAAAAATGACCAAGGAATTGGACCTAATGACAGAGTTGATAGAAAGCCCTGGAAGACACTTTGCTATATATATGAGGCTGCTGAATAATAAAGATGCCATTACAAAGTTATGAGGAAAATAAGGCTTATGTGAATGAAATTCTAGATAAATTAGAGGTAACTGTAAAAAAATTGATGTCATTAAAAATTTAGGAGAAATTTTGCCCAATAATAAATTATTGTAATTATATGGAACTAGTACATGCTTAAAATTTAAATAGTTTACACACAACAATTAAGAAAAATACACTATAGAAATGGATAATGAAGAGATAAATCACAGAAGAATTAAAAGCAAATAACACAGGAAGGAAATAATAACCAATTCCACTTAATACAAAATAATGAAAACATATCAAGTGGAGTCTGGGTTTGGAGTAATAGGCTCTCCTCCTCTACAGTGGGGTTTGTAATTGATAAATGGTTTCAGAGAGCAATGGGCAATGCGTATCAAAAACAGAATGTGTGTCCTTGATGTAGCAATTCCACTTCTAGGAATTTAGGTTCAAAAAGAATCAGATATGTGCAAAAAGTCATATGTTGTGAAGATGTTAATGATCTTGTTTATGATAGCAAAAGCTGTGGATGAAGTAAATGTCAATCAATCAGATACTGCCTAAATCAGGGGTTCTAAAAGGTTCTAGGGGTTGTAACAGAATCCTCTAAGAAGCTTTCACCAATTTCTGCCCTCCACCTCCAAGATTCTAATATGAATATCCACCCAGGCATATGAAATAAAGTAACTGTTAGTATTTTTACTTTTCTCAAAAATTTCATAGATTGTGCTTATCATACCCCTTCCTTTTCAGACTCTTGTTTCTTCCCTAGGGCAGTAAGTAACACCAAGGTGTTAATTTTTAACATATATGCTGTTCAGGAAAACAATAGAAAACTTTAATGAGCATTTCTTTAATTTCTCTCAATTTGACTTTCCTTTGGACTACTCTTACAATATGTATTGGGATAGGAGCATTATTTGTTTTAGATAGCATTTGGAAATTGAGAATATTGATCAAAAGGACAGTAAAAGTACATATTAGCAGCCTGTAACCTACTCCTCAATCTTATATCATCATAACTTTAAAATAAACATTTTCTTTTAATTCTTTCCATGTATCTTTATTTGAAATACAAAGAACCTTCAAAATTATAAAGTGTTAGTTACAATTTTGTCAGTTTTCTCTGCATGGTGTGTTAATACTTTGATACTAATAGATAAATCTGAGATAACTCCTATTTTAACTTTCTTCAATTGTGACATGTGTCTGAAATGATGGAATGTAAAGTAGAATTGAAATGAAGTTACTTGTTTTTTCAGAGTTTCCAACTATGACATCTTCTGGTATACTCATAATCTCTTCTTTGTCTTCTACATGCTGCTGATGTTGCATGTTTCAGGGTAAGTTTAAAAAATATTTTTAAATATTTTTAAAAACATGTATACCTAAAAATGGGGTAATGAAAGATAAATCTATAGGGATTTTCATAGGAAGTGGTAAAATTATTTGGTTACTTGGAATTGAGGGTAGTCTCAAGAATGAAGATATAGTTCTACTTTTAGCATAGCATATTTTAATGAAAGTAGTATAAAGGTGTATTAAAACTGAAAGAGTTGGGTCACCTGGGTGGCTTAGTTGGTTAGGTGTCTGCCTTCAGCTTGGGTCATGATTCTAGGGTCCTGGGGTCGGGCCCCACATCTGGCTACCTGCTCTGTGGGGAGCCTGCTTTTCCCTCTCCCATTCTTTCTGCTTGTGCTCTCTCTCCCTCTCAAATAAATAAGTAAAATCTTTAAAAAAAATAAAACTGAATTGCTTCTCCCACAGTGTTGCAGGTTTTTTTAAAGATGTATTTATTTATTTGAGAGAGAGAGAGTGAGCAGGGGGAGGGGCACAGAGAGAGGGAGAAAGAGAGAGAAGCAGACTCCCCGCTGAGTGTGGAGACCACTGTGGGGCTTGATCCCAGGACCCTGAGACCATGACCTGAACCAGATAGTTAAAGTCAGATAGTTAACCGACTGAGCCACCAGGTGCCCCCACAATATTGCAATTTTTAAAGTCCTCTATAGTTATATCCTTTTTTAAAAAAGTATGTTATGTTAGTCACCATACATTACATCATTAGTTTTTGATGTAGTGTTCCATGATTCATTGTTTTGTGTATAACACCCAGTGCTCCATTCAGTACGTGCCCTCTTTAATACCCATCACCAGGATAACCCATCCCCCCACCTCCCTCCCCTCTAGAACCCTCAGTTTGTTTCTCAGAGTCCATAGTCTCTCATGGTTCATCTCGCATCTGATTTCTTTTTAAGAGAGAGGGAGATGGAGGGGAGTGGCAGAGGGAGAGGGGGAGAGAGAGAATCTTAAACAGGCTCCATGCCCAGCATGGAGACCGATGCTGAACATGATCTCACAACCCTGAGATCATGACCTGAGCTGAAATCAAGAGTTGGATGCTAAACTGACGGAGCCACCCAGGCACCCCTCTATAGTTATATCCTGATACTCTCTAAGAGAAAGTTAATAAGAAGTGAAGATTTCTTACTGGTATTTTAGTTTTTGTATTTTTAGGAATTCCTTATGTCTTGCTGCTACAGAATTTGTAAGAATGGAGTTACCAGTTTTTAGTTTAAAAAGGCCTCACAGCCCATAGCAACATTTTTCTAGATATGCTTCCTGAAGGAAGGGAAATAAAAGCAGAATAAACTATTGGTATGGCATCAAAATAGAAGGCTTCTGCACAGTGAAGGAAACAATTAATAAAAATAAAGGCAAACTACTGAATGGGAGAAGATACTTGCAAATGATATACCTGATAAAGGTTTAGTACCCAAAATATATAAAGAACTGATACAACTCAATACCCCAAAACCAAATAATCCAATTAAAAAATGGGCAGAAGACATGAACAGGTGCCTGGTGTCTCAGTCACTTAAATGTCCGATTCTTGATTTTGGCTCAGGTCATGATGGCAGGGTCGTGAGATCAAGCCCTGCATCAGGCTCCATGTTCAGCGGGGAGTCTGCTTGAATTTCTCTCTCTCCCTCTGCCCCTCCCCCACTCATGTGCACACTGTCTCTCTCTAAAAAATAAATAAATCTTTAAAAAATCAGGAGAAGACATCAATGGACATTTCTCTAAAGAAGACATCCAGATGGCCAACAGACACATGAAAAGATGCACATCACTCATCATTAGGGAAGTGCAAACCAAAACTACAATGAGATATCACCTCACACCTGTCAGAATGGCTAAAATCAAAAACACAAGCAACAACAAGTGTTGGCAGAGATGTGATTATATAGAAACCCCCCCTTGCACTGTTGGTGGGAATGCAAACTGGTGCAGCCACTGTGGAAAACAGTATGGAGTTTCCTCAAAAAGTTAAAAATAGAACTACCCTATGATCTGGCAGTGGGTATTTACCTAAGAATACAAAAACACTGAGTCAAAGATACATGCACCCCTATGTTAATAGCAGCATTATTTACAGTAGCCCAACTATGGAAGCAGCTCAAGTGGCCATCAGTTGATGAATGGATAAAGAAGATGTAGTATATATAACAATGAAATATTATTCAGCCATAAAAAGGAATGAAATCTTGCCATTTGCAAAGTATGGATGGACGAGAGTATAATGCTAAGTGAAATAAGTCTGTCAAAGAAAGACAAATACCATATGATCTCACACGTATGTAGAATTTAAGAAACAAAACAAACAAGCAAAGGAAAAATAGAGAGGAACAAACCAAGAAACAGACTTTTAACTATGGAGAACAAACTGATGGTTACCAGAGGGGAAATGGGTAGAGGGATAGGTGAAATAGATGATGGGGATTAAAGAGTATACTTATCATGTTGAGCACTGACTATTTTTTTTTTAATTTCAAGTTTCTATTTAAATTCTAGTTAACATATATGGTAAAATTGATTTCAGGTATAGAATTTGTGATTCATCACTTACATATAACACCCAGTGCTCTTCACAAGTGCCCTCAATACCCATCACCCATCTAGCCCATTCCCCACCCACTCCTTCCATCAACCCTTAGTTTGTTCTCTGTAGTCAAGAGTCTCTTTTGGTTTGCTTCGCTCCCCACTCTCTTTTTTTTTTTTTACCTTCCCCTGTGTTCATGTTCTGTTTCATGTATAATATTATATATATACACACACACACACACACACACACACACACACACACACACACGCACACACCCCACATCTTCACCCATTCATCAGTTAATGGATAGTTGGGCTTTTTCCATAGTTTGGCTATTGTTGATAATGCTGCTATAAACATTGGGGTTCATGGAACACTGACTAATGTATAGAATTATTGAATCACTATATCATACACCTGAAATTAATATAACACTGTATGTTAACTATACTGGAATTAAAATACAAAACTTAATAAAAATAAATAAATAAAAATAAAAATGCCTGCCTGCAATATTAGTTGCAGAGAAAGCCAAAGGTTTACAATGACCAAAGACAAGGATCTGTCAAAAACATCAGAAGATCACAAAGGAAAAAAAGTGAGTATCCTAAACTTGTTACAAAGAATATACCCCCAAAATTCTGAAAAGTGTGTAAACCCAAGCAGTTTACTCAAAGGTGTAGTGCTTAAAATAATCCATTAGCTTAGAGGAAGGAAATAATATACATGTGTGTGCATATATCTCCATGATAACCAAAGTGGACTGTGGTTTTGTCTTGAGACTCACACTAATATGATACAAGAGGCCATCATCTGGCAACAGGTTCACTTGACTGAGCAGAATCATAGAGGACAGGTCAATAGGTTAATATCAGGTCCTTCTGTGGGGATCCCTCTGGTTGGTTAGGAATCATTTCCCACCTCCTCTCCCTTGCCCCCCCCATGTAGTAACTCAGTTTCAAGATGAGTAAACCATATGGGTAGGCATGGACTACCTTGCCTTGCATAAGGCTCATGCTCCACAGGAACTAGGATCTTGGTAGCAGCCCCAATCTCCTCAAAGGATGCCCTCAGTTGTGAGAACACACGGCACACAGGAAACTGAGGTCTGTGCGTCTTGAATGATATTGTAGTGCACTCATAACCTTCCTGGTCCAGATGCATTCCACCAATAATAAACAATGTTGCCTGGAAACACAGCTGGCTTTCCCCATTTATCATAGCCCAAAGTGTTTCCAAGGAGACAGTGTTTAGAGAAAAGTTCAGATCTGTTGTTAATCTTTTCCTCAGAATGTTTTCTAATGTACTTTGTCAGTACAGTAGGTCATATACATAAATTATGTATTTATTTCAGGGTACATGTTCAAAATGGTTTTTTTCTTCTCTGATTTTGGAGACCACTGGTTTAGATAGCAGTATTATATGGGTCTCTCTTATAAGTCCTGGCTCAGTTTGTTCTTTACTGGGTTCCAGAACCTACAGTTGTAGAGCAGCAGAAACATGGCCTCACATTATTATCCTGACTTTTGATTAGTCATTCCTGTCACACAAAGAAGAGAGCCATGGTCTGAGGAAGCTCTGGGTTCTATTCTTTTCCCTTTGTGAGGATAATATGTTCTGTGGAATATTAGGACACCAAGAAAGCTCTCAGTACAAATTTGGTTTACACTCTGTTATTTAAATGGCTTGTTTGCCTGTCAGGGTTATTATCATAAAATGAACTATGAGTAAGCAGATGCTACTAATGTTAACTGTAATTTAAAATAATTACATAATGCTTACTATATGCCAAGAATAAATTCAAAATGATTTAGATGCTTTATGTCTTCAGGGATCACAGTTTTACAAGGATAAAATAGTATTGTTAAACCCCCTTTACAGGTCAGAAAACTGAAGTTTAGGGAGAGTAAGTAACTTACTAAAGTTTACCTAACTGATGGATCCTGGATTCAAATTCAGCCATTATGACTCAAAAACTCATATTTTTTTACTACTAGGTTTTGTTTTTTGGAGAGCTCTATACTGAGAACTTAGTGTTAAGATTTATTTTTTAGGGCAGCAGCTCTTTCTGCCCATGGGTCCTGTCCCTGGGCTTTAATAAACCACCCGTTTGCACCAAAGACATCTCCAGAGTTCCTTCTTGGGTGTGGGCTCCAGATCTCACTCCAACGAACTCCATCTATATCCAAAACTCCATCATTGTGAGGGGCTAGGGTATATTACCAGATAGATTTCTCCTAAAGAAAGTAATATGTTAGGAGAAGATGTGCCTTGAGAATCTGTATGGTGATCTGCCCTGAGGTTGTTCACAGATATTCAGCAGCAATTTCATCAAACTGAGAAGCTTAAGGTTTGGAAATTATGCTTCAAGAATATTCCCAGGCTATGAGCCCTGGAAAAGATGGCAGAGGAGTAGGGGACCCTATTACAACCCATCCCCAGAATTGAGCTGGATATCTA